AGGGACGCACGGGGATTGTGAGAGGTCCCCGCGGAACCCTGCGGAGCGATCTCAACCACATCAACGTAGAGCTCAGCCTCCTTGGAAAGAAAAGGAAGAAGCTCCGAGCTGACAAATGGTGGGGAAACTGGCCACCGTGCGCGCTACCTGTAGCCACGTCCAGAACATGATCAAGGGTGTTACTCCGGACTTCCATTACAAGATGAGGTCTGTGTATGCTCACCCCCCACCAACATTGTTATTCAGGGGAATGGGTCTCTAGTTGAAACTCGAAACTTCTTGGGTGAGAAATACATCCGAAGCGTTAGGATGAGGAGGGGTGTTGCTTGTTCAGTCTCTCAAGCCTAGAAAGATGAATTAGTCCTTGAAGGAAATGATATTGAACTTGTCTCAAATTCAGCTGTTTTGATTCAGCAAGCAACAACAGTTAAAAACAAGGATATCAGAAAAGTTTGGCATGGTATCTATGTTTCTGAAAAGGGAACAGTTCAACAGACTGATGAAGAAGATCTCAGTTAACGCATCTTTGGAGACTATCCTGGATCTTGACCAGTTTCTGATACTTCCGTGATGCAATCAATAAAAGAATTATATTGAAAAAACATAGAGAAGGGTCAGGGTTCACATCTGCCAAGCCCCTCCGGGGCCTTGTGCAGCCTGCCAGCATTCCATAAGTTCAAAATAATTTCTTACATAAGAATAATACTATATTCGTGAAAACCTGCAGAGACAAGCAGTACATCTGCAGTGGTTCTTGCTTTCTCCCCCAGATAACTGAAGCTGGAAAAGATGGCAGTAAGTTGCTTCTCCACCTACACTACTGTGTCACAGCTGTGCATTACCCCCGCTTTCTCCCACTCCTAGACCAGTCTTCAGGCCACGAGACTGTCAGACAGGCAGACACTCTGGAAAGCAAGACTTTATGGATGCCAAGGTTATTATCTGTGATAGCAGCTCTTGATCCTGGGAGATGGAGCGTGTAATTATGTTTTATTGATTCACTCCACTGACCAAGAGCATACCCCATTACTTCCAAATATAAATGAGTCTCTCATCCTTCTAAACAAATGTGGCAGCATCTCAGTTTCCAAGAGTCTCCCCTCAAATATGGTCCCAAGCAGGAAGACGTTTTGTCTAATCCTCACTCTGTTCTCCATTTTGGCTCAAATGCCATCAGGTAAATGAGAATGGATGGGGTTTTAATGGGGTTAGATCATAATGCCGATGGTTCTTCTATGCACCACCCTAAAATTAATAGTACTGATCAGGGAACCACAGTGTTTTTTAATGAGAATTTCTCAGACCTATAGTGACATTTTCTAAGAGCCAACGATTGTATGTGGTATTTTTTCCTTCCTTTTCTTTGTGACTTGGTCTTACTAATTCCCAAGAGAAACACAATTAAGATTGAGGCATTGTCATATGCAGTCTCCAATGGGCCCATGTGTGAAAATAGTTTTATCTAATATTGTCCATATGCCATTTCTTTGCATTGATATTCTTTTCTAAAATATGCTTTGCTTTAAATTTTAGGATGTGAGGCAGGACTTGAGTATTCCCAGTCATTTCCAGGAGGTGAGTGCAGTTGGTTAAATTTATTTTTTCTTGGGAACTCTGGCCCGTGCTATGTATGTCTGATGAGTCCAAGAAGGAAAACAGTAGTGAAAATTAAATGGACTGAACTGCAGCCCACAAACGCTCATCCTCTCTTCCTCTTGGTGACAGAATCTTATTTGGGTTTTTTTCCATTTACAGAGAAATATCTTGGTTGAGGAGCATAAGTCTGGCCATTGAGATGGGAATCCATTGACTTTCCCCTTTGATTTTGCCTCATAGGTTCAGGTTTACTGTCATGCAGCTGATGGGCCGGCGGCATGCGAGCATGTCTGTTTCTCACATTCTAAATCTAATGAGGTCCGTAGCACTGCTTGCCTCTGGTTTACACAGAATCATCTGAATGAATGAAGATAGTTCTAGGAGAACTCATTATTACGGAAAAGTTATTGATAATGAGTAGCCACAAACCTGGCTTGGGGGGGCGGGGGGTGGCCTGTCCTGGGGCTTGAACTCTGGGCCTGGGTGCTGTCCCTGGGCTCCTTTTTTTTATTTTCGAGACTAGCACTCTACCACTTGAGCCACAGCTCCATATCTGGCTTTTTCTGTGATTAATTGGAGATAAGAATTTTACAGACTCCCCTGTCCCAGCCGGTCCTCAGATCTCAGTATCCTAAGTAGCTAGGATTACAGGGGTGAGCCACCGGTGCCCAGCATAGCCACAAACTTCACTTTGTGGAGATCTCTTTTACAGGAGATCACATTGTAGACAGAATTGAAGCAAATATTCTTGGGTAATTGCAGACAACATGAAGAATTTACATAGCATTTTAGAGTTGGAAATATTACAAGTACTCCTAATAAATTTCCATCAATGTGTCAGGTACTCCTGCATCTATATATGCACCATCTCATTTAACATTCAAAACACCCTTATAGGTAAGTGCTATTAAACCTGAATGTCATATGCCATTTATTTAAACAAATTAAAATTGTAGAAGAGTCTTTATAGAATGTCCTTGGGACAAATAAGCAAGTTGAGAGAAACAATTTACTAGGAAGGTGCCCAGTACTACGTCCAAACAGGAATTGAGTCTAAAATTCTTACTAACATTTTCAAGAATCTTCCCAATGCTACATTATATCCCTCTTGTTTTTGTCTAGCAAGCACCCATCATATCCAGTAGGTATATTTATAGTCCTGTAGTTTGTCTTCCTGATGAAATAATTTAGAGAGCAGAGATTGGGACTATCTCTTCCTTGTAACTCTACCAAATTCCAGACTGCAAAGACATGGCAATCTTTCAAAAAAAATCTGGGCTAGCTATTATGATATATCCATGAATGTATATAACATTCTTAAAACAAATTCTTTCCCCTCACCATCCTCTTAAGACAATTTAATCCGTGAATGGGTTTCATTATTCTATTTTCAAACACGAGTATGTAGTACTTTATCCAATCAACATATGCTAATAAAAAAAAAAACAGATGAAAAATCTGGATTGGTTTTTGAACCAATTTACTCATACAAGCATTCTGTATTCTGACGGACTTTGATACGCTCCCCTTTCCCCCAGAGTGCTCACAAAGGTAACTTAGCCATTTTTCTTGGCACAGGTGAGTTTGCCGTGTGTGAGACATGCAGACTTGGCCGGGGTAAGTGCAGGAAGTCTTGCATGGAGGACGAGACAGTGGATGGAAATTGCAAGCTGAACATATTCTGTTGCCGCCGGAGGATCTGACTTAGACTGTCCTTCTTTGGGACAGTGGGGGTGGATCCAGCTCCAGGGAAGACCCAGAGAAGACTGGCTTCCCCGACCATCCGTGGAGTTTCAGGATCGACCACGTGTCATTCTCTCTTTGTTTTTGTTTCTTTGCTAGTTGTGGTTTTAAGATGCTCTCTGATGGCAGGGGCTCTGACATCTGCATACGATTGTTCCTCTGTTGTTTTGTTTTTACCTTAACAAGTCAGCTTTGAATTGACCCAGATCATGGATACTTCAGAAATCAGCCAGAGTCCTAAACTGAGTTAATTTATAGATAGGGACTAAGGTGTCCCTTCTTTTTTGTATCTAACCATTTAAATATTTTCAAGTGCCTTGACCGCCCTTGGCCCTGGTTTTTTTTTTGTTTTTTGTTTTTTTTGGGGGGGGGGTTGTCCTTAAGTTCATAGAAGCATTAGAAGTTTCCTTTAGTTTGGGTCCATGTCGGCATGTTTGTGGCACATCGAATTCATAAAGAATCCACGCTTAGTTTTGTCCCTTTAACCGAGATTTACGCTTTCTTCAATTTTCACATCCTTCCAGCAGTTCTTTTTTGTTTTGTTTTTTTTTTCAGTTCAGTTTTTTTTTTGGCCAGTAGGAAGATAGTTTTTTGAAGATCACTCTCTTTTCCTGAAAATGGACCACTCAAATTTTAGCTGTCAGATAACTTTCTACTTTAAATCCTTTAATGGCTCTCCTTTGGTTTAGAATAAAAGTATAATCTCTTAATGCCATCTACTTGTGTGGCATAAATTCAGATGATTATTGTTCAACACATGTCTGCTGAAGTAATGTAATATTCATAAAATTTGAAATATGGGAACATTTGTTTATAATGTGGTCCATAAAATACCCTAGATTTGTACAAACTTTGAACACATAATGATTTTCCTTTAGTTATAGAACTGGCTGCGAATTTCTGTAGATAGCTTTCAATAGTAAATCAAGTAGCATCTCTTGTTGCAAAGCACTGCTGTAAGAAATGAATGTTTAAAAATAGGGCTGGGAAGGGCTCAGTGGTAGAGTGTTTGCCTTGCATGCCTGAGGCCCTGGGTTCAATTCCTCAGCACCACATAAGCAAAAAAAAAAAAAAAGCCAGAAGTGGCACTGTGTTTCAAGTGGTAGAGCACTAGCCTTGAGCTGAAGAGCTGAGGGACAGTGCCCAGGCCCAGAGTTCAGGCCCCACGACTGGCAAAAAATAAATAAATAAATAATGCGAGGCAGATTGCTTGTCTTTCTGGAGTTCAGTGTTTATTTGAGGAAATTCATCTTTATATATTACAATTTTTAAGTAATTATGCTAGGCACCAGTTAACAAATGCTGAATGAAACTTATAAAAGTGTAAGCTATCTGTAAAATCTGAAGGTAGGAAGAAGAGGGTATTAAGGGAGCAGTGGTTTTTGAAATGGGACTTGAAGAAAAAAATGGGAGACATGTAGGCAGAGACACAGAATTGGGTATTCCAGCAGGACGGCAGCGCTCTTTCCCTGCTACTTAAACCCTCTCACCTGTTCGCCCACACACTATTCAGTGGAGCACGGAAAATACTGACTTCTCAGTGAACATTACAATGCAAAGTGAGCTTTCAAGCTTGGCCAATTCCAAGCAGTCAGCTTCTCTCGATAAAAGAGCAAAGATTCAACTACTTCTTTGTAATCTCTTCACGGGTATCTGGAGACATGAAAATCTTTCCCTTCATTTTTACTGGCCTGATTCTTCTTTTTCAACTTTTTCCAGGTAAGAGAGATGTCCTTAGAGAGATAAGGCTGTAAATCTGTCTAGAATGTGTATTTCAAGAACGAAAAAGAACAAGTAACTCATTTTTGTTAATGAAATAAGTCACAGGCCAAACTAGTAGTCACCAGATTTTTTTTTTTCTGATCTGAGAAATAAAACACTGAGGCCACACCCATTCAGGTCACTTTTGACTAGGAAGGAATCTTTAAAATGAGATGAACTAGCAGCGGCAATCTCAATCCCAGGTGTTAATATAGGGAAGTAAAACTTTTGCAGCATAAAGTTGATAAGTTCTTGATGAGCTAACTTTCCACCTTGTAGCAGCTGACACCAATTGCTTATCCTTAAACTATTTCAGCTGTTATTTAGGGTTTACCTACTGAAGGAAAACTGTATCATTGAAACTATTAACATCTTGATTTGTTTGATTTTAATATTTGGAATTCTTTAAGCTGAGCTCTCTTTGCTGAATACAACAAGGATCTCATCCTAAATAGATATTTATGGCCAGTCCTCAGCCATTCTCCATTTCTCTCCCTACAAAACCTTGGTTAATGTTCCTTCTCCATGTAAGCAAAGTTCCTTTCCTCTTCTTCATGACTTGAGAATGTTCACTTTTGTCAGTATTTCCCTGGGTAGTTTCAGCAAGCCAATAGACACTGGATGTGTGCTTATCCCACATGTGAAATTGTTCTGAGCACTGTTAAATTAGGAAAAATGAGGAGACAGAAATAAGATTCAGGTCTTTGCTCCTGATGGCTTAAAGTTAATTATGCTATTATTTCTGCTGGTAAGAAAAAAAAAATGGATTCTAAGAGAAAACACATTCAATAAAGTTTAAATGTAAAAATATGTGAAATGATACACCAATTCCTTAATATAATTTTCATAAAAGATACAAAGCACAAAGAAAAGCAGAGAAATGGAAAGTTGGTTATAACTAAGAGTTCCAGAAAGTTGTCCCTAGGAGTGGGATGTACTGGAAACAGCAAGGACACAGCACTAAGGAACAGCCTGAGTAGGAAGCGTGCGTGCTTGAAGTGCTCACTTAATAAAATCGCGGTCTGGCGTTAGTCTCCTTCCACATAGGGTAGATGGTGGGTTAAGGCAAGAGAATGACATTTTAGGCTGTCTTCTCCATCCCTTCCTTACAGAACTATAGATTCTGTAGGGAAGGAGATGTTGAATCACACGCTTTCTTCAACAATGAGCCACGGGCATTTGATAATAACCACCCTGGGCCACTCACTATGGTCAGCTCTGCCCTGATGACCAGAGCAGCTCAGAGCTGGGAATAACTTTGATGATCGGTGTAAGGAGACACAGGTTATTAGGGCAAATCATGTGGGTTTGAATCCTAATTCTAATCCTTACCAACTGAACACTGTGCTGCAATTTCCTCTCTCTAAATGGGAATAATAATATGGCTGTGGGGCTGGGAAGGTGGCTCAGTGGTAGAGCACTTGCCTTGCATGCCTGAGGCCCTGGGTTCGATTCCTCAGCACCACATAAGCAAAAAGAAAAAAGCCGGAAGTGGTGCTGTGGCTCAAGTGGTAAAGCGCTCGCCTTGAGCTGAAGAGCTGAGGGACAGCGCCCAAGCCCAGAGTTCAGGCCCCATGACCGGACCCCAAAAAAAAAGTAATAATATGGCTGTGGTGAAGACTAAGAGAGCTATTAATTAGAATAAAGATGAGAGAAGCTGGCGTATTATGATAAGGAAACAAGAACAGAAGTGACTGGAATGAGGTTGAAGTCTGTTTCTCTTCAATGTAAGAGTCAAACCCCAAAAAGTAAGTTGAATATGTTGTGTCAAGAACTCTCCACCAAGTCCTACTGGGACAGGTGTGGGGGTGAGCCCTGCTATCCCCGGCATGGCCATTTTCTAGGCTCCAAAGATGCTCTAACAGGATGGCATAGAAGATGTAGGTCATGACTTCACAGAACAGAATGAGGAAGACTAGCATGTATTTATTTTTGCTTTGTGTATAAAATTATGAAACTCCACAAACATAGGACAATACACATGATCTATCGCTTACCTGTCTGTAATGTATATTGCACACAATTACATTTTTCTCTACATCAGACACTAAATTTAGAAATATGTTTAACGTGTTGGAAAAGACTTGATTCAAATTGGAAATTATGTGGCCAGTGTAATAGCAAGAAGCATTCTATTAGCACAACATAGCTATGATTTTATATGCTCCCATAACATAGCTTTGAATGTTTTGGAAATGAAGATTTCCTAATTTTCCCTAATTGACTAGCAAGGATATTGCGCTGGAGGTCTGAGCTCAGGCCAATCTATTCAGTCAGTACATACTTGTCTGCTCTCTCGATTCATATTCTGTGAGAGGAATTCTGAGGGGGACTGGTGCTACAGTTTCTAGAAACTAAGAACTAACGGTTTCCTTGACATAGCCAGGGAAGGAGCTTACCGAAGAATCCGCTGTATCAGAATGGCCGGCCGCTGCGAGGTGGAATGTCTGACCTTCGAAGTGAGGATCGGGGGCTGCAGGTCTGACCTGACACCCTTCTGCTGTAAGAAAAGAGCGTACTTGAAAAGCTAAGCGTTGGCCGCAGGCCTGAGGCAGGAGACACACCCGCAAGACTGGTGACAGGCGCGGAAGGAACCTCCCTGCGTCTTCTCTTTGGCCTCTGAAATCTGAGTGGCTCAAAGCTGTGACAATCCAGATTCTAGAAAGAAATTCCCATCCTCAGCCCCAAGCTTCTCCAGGGCGGAGGCAGTCATCTGACTTGTCTTTGTACCCCATCTTTCTGGCACAGTGCCTGTTAATTACTTTATTGATTGATAACGTAGGTGAGAAAATAGATAAATGGAAGAGGATAGAAAAGTTAGACTGGTATTTGGGGCACTGAGTTCCAGAGATGTTGCCCTGGCTTTCAACAGAGACTTGCCTTCACACCAAACTTTTGTACCGAGATTCTGATGTCTGCAATAGGAAGAGCTTGACCTATGTAAGGAACAGATTCCTGCTAGCCACTAACTGACGCTGCTCCAGAAGCAGCCCTGTAGCCCTGCCCTGTCATCTCTCTCTAGCTCTGTCACATGTATGCTGACTCTCCTCTCTCTCTCTTCCCTCTCTCTGTCACACACACACACACACACACACACACACACACACACAGATGGGAAATACAAGAAAAGCACGTGTCAAAATCCAACTTGGTGACATAATGAGTAGCATTATGGATTCACTCTGGTCACTTACAGTAAATATAGATCAATTCATGGCTTATTCCAGCAGCAGTGTGCCCGAAAGTCATAAAATGCAACATCCTCACTACAGATGTCTGATGAAAAATGTCAGTTATTGCGTTAGTCATACCCATATTCCATCCTCAGGGTTTTAGTCTTATGTTCTCAGCACATCTCTAAATGTAGCGTTCCAGATGACACTAGAACAGAGGCCAGTCCTACAGACAGAACTCTCCAGCAGAGGGGAGTATCTAGATGAAGAAATTACTTCAACCTGTTAAGAAATGGACACGTGCAAAAACCCTCTTGTAATGCTATGATTCTTTCCTTTTCTGGAACATGACAAACTAGAACTTGTTCTTGGCCCTAATTTGCCCAGACTTGGCATCCATGTTTTCAAACACAGCACAGTATCTTTCCCAGACCACTGTCATCATGAGCAATCTGCTGCTTCTCCCCCAAAGGCAGGAGAAGTTCTCGCTCTGCTGTGGAGGAATTCCTTTCCTAACCTGTGAGGTTAAACTTGCTTCCTATAGAGTTACGAAGAAAACCATTTTTGGAAACATATCGGTCCATATGATGTTTTAAAATAAAAATATATAAAGTGGTTTTTCAAAGATGACCACGGGTCTGACTTTATGGTAATAAATTTTGTTTTCTTTTCGTGTGTGTGTGTGTGTGTGTGTGTGTGTGTGTGTGTGTGTGTGTGTGTGTGTGTGTGTGAGCGCACGTGCGCGTGTGCCCAGGCACATGCCAGTTCTGGAGCTAAAGTTAGTGCCTAGGCCCTATCCCTTAGCTTCATCACTCCAGGCTGAAACACAGCTCCAGTCTGGCTTGTTGCTAGTTAATTGGAGATCAGAGTGAAAGAGTAGAGGGCCAGGAGCAAGATACAGTCAGCACACGGAAACCCACAGGGCTCCATCCTTGCATGGCTCCAGACAGCCACGTACGCCTATGATGACTGGGCACGTGACTTTTACACACTGCAGCTGTCTTGCCCTTCACATTGTGTGCGCTGAGCCACGTGTGCATCCCTGGGATGCCATCAGCTGACCGTGGAGCGCCAATCAACCCCGTCCTGCCCTGCCACTGGATTTAATTGGATCATATTTTCTTGTGCTCTGTGAATATTCTCATGCATATGCCACTGAAAATACAGCCAATCAATAGTACAAAAGTTGAGGAGTTGTAAGAGACTAAGTTGAGAAATTACAATGCTATTAATGATGTTTTAAGGAAACTGGTGGCTGCTTTCTTCATTATTTATTCCACAATACTTTGTATGGCTCCAAATCTACAGCAGTTAGTTAGGGTTAGAGTGCCACCTAATGTCAAGAGAGTAGAAGTAATTCTAGGTTCAAAAAGATCCGGACAAGGCACCCAGGAAATAAACCCAGAGGACTGATAAGGGATTCGGATATCCTGAAACTATGCATCAGCTACACATGCTCTGAGACACGCTTTAGATTGTTTTTCGGGAAACCCTGCCACTACCCTAAAAGTTGAATGCATTTTAGAACAGAACTATGTGTTCTAGATCACCCAAGGGACACACACTTCAAAACTCAGTGTCTTTTGCAGAAAATCTTCGTCAACATTTGTATGATATCCAAAGAGGCGATACTGTGATTGCTAAAAGCCGGAGTGACCCAAAGTCAAGCACTGGGTAAAGAGTAATTGATCTGGGAAATGTCAAAATCTTTACCACTCATCTGCAGAGTTGTTTAAAAACCAGTCATGTGCCATCGGGTCATGTTTGTCTAGAAGGAAGCAGTTTAGAATTCTACAGGTGCCATGTACTATGGATCTATTGCATACGGACTAATAAGAGGACCAATCTTCAAGATTTGGCCCAAATGGTCATAGGTTTTCTGATGCTTAGCAAACATTTATTCTTTTTTTTGGTAAGTCAGGGGGCTTGAACTCAAGGCTTTGGCACTGTCCCCTAAACTCTTTGGCTCCAAGGCTACCACTTTGAGCCACAACACCACTTCTGGTTTTTGAGTGGCTTATTAGAGGTAAGAGTCTCATGGATTTTCCCACCCAAGCTGGCTTTGAACCATGATCTTCAGATCTCAGCCTCCTAAGTAGCTAGGGTTACAGGCATAAGTCACCAGTGCCCAGCTCAAACATTTATTCTTTGACTTGACTGTTAGCTCCAACTCAAGTGAATTTATACTGCCACTGTAACCAGGGACTTGCTGATACAGTACCCGTAATTCAAAAGAAAAAGTAAAGAAATCCCAGACAAAAATCAGACTCTGGTTATGTTACTTGCTTACATGCACTCAACTTTTGTAAATTTAGGGATTCTTTTGGTCTTGGCAAACACAGGGAGGTCTTGTTTGTAACGCAGCGAAGTGGCACCTTGCTGACAGCTACTCTGACTAGGACATGAGCACTAGACTCCAGCACTCCCTCTGAGTCCTAGATGCTGCTCTGCTTCCAGCTTTTTCCTCAGCATCAGGGTATTATAGGATACGACCCTTGGCTAAGAACTGAGAGGCCAGCCACCACTCCAAACTCACGTTAACGCCTAGAATGCCACCCTGAGATGTTCGGCGGCCATTCCTGCTGCGTCGTCACCACCACACTGCGTCTACCTTAGCCCCTTGGCTCTCTTCCCTTCTCCTCCCCACCACCAGATACTTCCTGTCTGCACCGATACTGCACCACACCACCCCTGCGTGTCTAGCCTGGCGTCATCCGTGGACCGAGCATCTGCAAAGATCCCCCCCATCTTGGAAGGCCCCTCAAGGGCTTGGCTGGCTGGACATTGGTTCAATCCCGGGAGCGAGCGGTTCCGGAACTTGAGGACGCCATCCATTCTCAGTGTCTCCAGCGTGGCATTTCCACATGGTGGCCGATGAGCTCTAACACCACTGCAAGTACGCGTGCCAATTGCATACACACTCACTTTGTCCCAGCCAAGAAAGGGGCCTGGCCCTCAATCCACCCCCTGCTGTCCTGTGCATGCTACAGAGCCATCACGGAAGCAGCTGACCATGGACTCCACCCTGAAGGCCTTTGTACACGGCTGGTACTTGCTGCTCCACACTTGAATGTCCACCTTCTCCCCAGAATCTGACAGTACCTGTCTGGTCAGGTGGCTGTTGTGGGGACTCTAAATGGAGCCCTAGGGCTCCTGGGAAATCACGGTGTTCCAGGGACCCAGTTATACAAAGCCTGCCCCTGAGGAATCTCAGCTTCCTCAACAGCCTCTCGGTGCTCTCAGTCCAATGCCCTATGCCACACTTCCCTGTTACTGGATAGCAATGTGCCAATGGGCCGTGAGTCTCACTCAGCCTTGGAACTTATGTTCATTCATCCAAGCTGCAACAAAATTGACCACATTATGCCAACACCTTGGCATAGTGGTTAGTTCCATGCCCATGTTTGTGATAATATTGTTCACCAGGTGCTGGTGATACACCTATAATCCTTGCTACTCACAAGGCTGAGATCTGAGGATCATGGTTCAAAGTCAGCCTGGGCAGCAAAGTCTGAGAGACTCTTACTTCCAATTAACCACCCAAAAACTGTGGCTTAACTGGTACAGCACTAGCATTGAGCACAGAAGCTCAAAGATAGCATCCAGGCCCTGCGTTCAAGCCCCACAACTGACTATATATACATATATATATAATATTTTATATAGTATATATGTATATATTATATATAGTATATATTATATTAAATATATTATATATATTGTTCAAATAAGGAAACCTTAAATTAAATGCTATACTTGAATTGTTCAACTTTAAAGAATACTTAGTATTCTTTAAAGACTGTTATCATCTTTGTTGTTTTAGAGCTCATTTTGTGTGCCATACCTGGTGCTGGGATGAATATTTGTTCATAAAATTAAAGACAAATGAGGTATATCAAGTGACCTGTTCTCCTATTATTTAAAAATACAATGTATCCCAGTGCTGGTGGCTCACACCTGTAATCCCAGCAACTCAGGAGGCTGAGATCTAAGGATCAAAATTGAAAACCAGCACTGGCAGGGAAGTCCAGTTCACCATTGGAAAACTGGAATTGGAGCAGGGGTTCAAAGTGATGCAGTGCTAGCTTAGAGCAAACGAGCTCAGAGACGCCCCCACTCCTTGAGTTCAAACCACAAGCCCAACAAAGAACCAACATAACCACTAAAAAAACCATTACAGATGGAAAGACTTCTCCATTGAGTGTGGATTAGGAGTTTCTTTCCTGCTAAGGTCCTGAGGCTGCATCTACAAATTCCTACATTGGTTATAATCCAAGGTACCAGTCGCTGCCTATGACACTACATACTTCAACTGCCATGAGGATTACACATACAACTTCCTTTAAATGTGTTTGTGC